ACACGGGAATCCAACGGACTCCCTGCCCTCAAAAAGAGGGAGTTCGCAGAAAAATGAGGGAGTCCGCAATCTGAAGTTCAGGGAGTATTTGACTCCAGACTCGCGCTAATTTGGCACCCTGGTTTCATATGTTATTCCAAGTGTTATAAAGGGTCACAAACATGCAACATCCCTCTTGTTTTCCTAATTGAAATCTTTCGTAACCAGATTTTCAACAGCCTAATGCTACTTGGATAGAAACATAGAGGTATCGAGGTCAAGCTTGGGAGCAGCATAGCATCTGGTGATCTCTTCAACACTTGTCAGTTTTCCATCAGCTCAATTATCGTCGCTTACGTGAAGATATTGTAAGACTGAAACTTTGCTCCTAGTAACAGGTTTCACCTTACTGGTTACTTCCAAAAAACGGTCGCGCATTGCAAGACCGTGTATAGATGTTAAATCTCACATTCTCGTCCTTATAGTCCAAAGTTGGATCACAAGATTGCACATAATATATTCGTATATATGATACAAATGTATGATTGAATAATTTTATTGGATCTCTATAGTTCACATGCTAATAAAGTTGATCTCAGTTAGATCTAAATTAAGTTAAAAATAAGTTTGGATCTAACTGAGATAACCTTTATTAGCGTGATACAATTGTAGTTGTATTTTTTTCTCGGCAAGAGTGTGCGGGGAATATGTAGTGATAGGCAATGCCCACCACCGACGTCTCAGCCAATTGTTTTTTTTAGCTCAGCTGACGCTTGTTTTTTTAAGTCAGATGCAGCTTATAGAATTGCATGAATGTCAGTCCGTCCAGCCGTCCGTCCATCCGTCTGTGCGTCAACAGTTACGGCACAAATCTTAACTGCACGACGTACGATCTTGATATTTGGGACGTCGGGGGGGGGATTCGCGAAAAGGACTCAGGATGTCGAATTTGGGGAGTCAAGGGTCAAAGGTCAAGATGTGTCAATGGAGGGGGAATATTTACCCCTTACTTAAGGTATAGGAGTAAATACGGAATTGCGGCACAAATCTCAATGGCTTGACCTACGCTCTTAATATTCGATGTATAGTGTAACTTCGGATAAGAGGCATTAATTGCCTATCACAGACGTTTTATAGCCGCAAGTAACCGTTACTAAGTTGGTCTCGAGCATTTGTAATAGAAGATCCTATAGCCCTGCGGCAACTGCACGCGGGCTATAGTTTACTAGAGCTATACTGTATCAAACTCGATCTCTAGCTCTCACTGTATCAAATCGAACTAGATCTAGATCTTGACAGATCGAACATGTTACATCCCACTGATGCAGTCTCATGAATGATCAGTGCAAAGGAAATATACATTGAACCCGCCTCAACTCATTTGAGAAAATATTGAGTGAATAGCGGTTGTTAATGTTATTATTGAAATGCGTCGATGACTTGAAATGTTTTATTTTAGTACAAGAGTAACTCTGGGAGAAAGGAGAAGAGTTGACATGAGTTTTTCACTCGCCTCCCTATATATATATATATAATTTTTGTTATACCTAGATTTATAGTTTATCTGTAGCATTAATTTCGATAAACTTTTTTTTCAACAGATGAGCGAAAAGCTGAAGCGGCTAGAATTCGACAGAAATACCCAGAGAGAATACCTGTAAGTGTGAAAATATTCTCATTTCCATTTACACCCAGTTCACCTTTGCCACAGAATTTCTGAATAGAATTGCCACAGTCTGTGGAGGCCTGTTTTTTTGGAGTGTATAGTAGTTGGAATGTAATATGCAGTTCCTTCTGAAACTTTATTATTGTCAACACTTAGGTTATTGTTGAGAAGGACCCAAACACCAACATACAAGACATAGACAAGAGGAAATTTTTGGTTCCAAGTGACATCACAGTCGCACAGTTTCAATGGATTATCAGAAAGAGGATAATGGTACCAGCTGATAAAGCCATATTTTTGTTCATCGGCAGTGCGTTGCCACAATCAGCGTAAGTTTCAATACTTCTCTCGTTCTCCTTTTCCTTATCTCCCTCTTTCCCTCTGTCTATCTCTATATCTCTCCTCTCTCTCTCTCCTCTCGCTATTTCTATATCTCTCTGTCTTTATATCTCTCCTCTCTCTCTCTCTATATGTCTTCTCTCTCTCTATCTCTATATGTCTTCTTTCTCTCTATCTGTATATCTCTTCGCTCTCTATCTCTATATCGCTACTGTTTATCTCTATATCTCTCTCACTCTCTATCTCTATATCTCTGGTCTCTCTATATATATCTCCTCCTTTCTTTAACACTGTTCTGCTCTTTGTTCTTCCCTACTTTCCTTGCCACGTTTCCTGCCCTATCTATAGTCATTCATGCACTGACTGGATAATGTGGATTGCTCGATGTTCAACTAACTCGCTCACTCTTTCACTCACTTGCTAATGCAATCACTTATTCACTCACCTCTTTGCTCATGTGCTTACACTCTCAGACGTGCACACATGCATATATGCACTCACACCGTCTTGCTGTCTTTTTCACTCTCACTCCATCCACTTTTTTTCTGATTTTTTTTTGCCTTGGTAATTATTGACATTCAGAAATATTTATGGGGACTGATTTCTTCCTCTTTGTATGAAGCCGTATGTATCGTAATTCATTTGCCTTTTGTTGTTTAGGGCGAGCATGAGTCAGATATATGAAGAGCAAAAAGACGAAGATGGCTTTCTATACGTTTCTTACAGTG